GACCCGGGCGTTGGAGCTGCTGCTGGTGCTGACGACCCGGGCGTTGGAGCTGCTACTGGTGCTGAGGACCCGGGCGTTGGGGCTGCTGCTGGTACTGCGGACCCGGGCGTTGGAGCTGCTGCTGGTGCTGAGGACCCGGGCGTTGGAGCTGTGACTGGTGCTGAGGGCCTTGGTGTTGGAGTCCCTGCTGGTGCTGCGGACTCGGGCGTTGGTACTGCTGCTGGGGGCACTGGTGCTGTCCCTGCTGTGTCTGGAGTCGCCGCGCGCCCTCAGTCGTACTTCGTTCCGCTCCTTCAGCAGGTTCTTGGTCTCTCGCCTCCTCCTGGTCCTCCCCCTCCTTTAGTGTGTCCACAGCCTGTTCAGTCACTGCCTGCTCCTTCTCCTTACTCTGGTCCTACTGACGGTCTTACTGAGCGTCGTGAGCCTGCGTCTCGCCCTGCGTCGCCTGTCCGTCCTGCTAGCACTGGAGCTCGTAGTTCGCGTCCACGTCCTCCTCCTGCCCCTGGCACGCACCGGATGTCTCTGCGTCCTTCCACTGCCCCTCTGCGTGCCCCTTTGCCTTCTCCTCCTGCTTCCTCTCTTCCTGCTCTTGCCGACCCGGAGTCGGACTCTCTTCGTGCTGCCAGTCCTACTGTCACGCGTCTCCTTGCTACTGCCGTCACTGACCCTTCTTTCGAGTCTTCTGCTGCGTCTGCCCTGGTTGCTGAGCTCGTCGACTTTGCTGCTCGCTGTCGTCTAGACTACGCTGCTAGTCTTGTCGCTGAGTCTGAGTCTGTCTGTCCTCCGTCCGTCGGGGGTGCGTGTGCCCTTGGCACGGACGTCCTTGAGGACAGGCAAGAGGAGTTTCAGTGCTTGGCTGCCGCTTCACCTCATCTCGCGTCTGTACTGCTAGCCCCTGAGGGAGACCCGGATGCACTAGACATCCCGACTCCGCGCTCTTACGCGGAGGCGATAGAGGGTCCCTACTCCTCTCAGTGGCAGGCAGCTATGGATGCAGAGATGGCTTCCTGGAAGTCCACAGGCACCTACGTTGACGCTGTCCCCCCTCCTGGGGCGAACATCGTCAGTGGCATGTGGATCTTCAGGGTGAAGCGGCCGCCGGGTTCTCCGCCTGTCTTCAAGGCGCGTTACGTGGCTCGTGGCTTCAGTCAGCGGCAGGGAGTTGACTACTTTCAGACCTTCTCCCCCACCCCGAAGATGACCACTCTTCGGGTACTCCTGCACGTTGCTGCTCACCGGGACTACGAGCTTCACTCTCTCGACTTCAGCACTGCTTTCTTGCAGGGCAGCCTGCACGAGGAGATCTGGCTGCGTCGCCCACCTGGCTTCACTGGGTCTTTCCCTCCTGGTACCCAGTGGAGTCTCCGGCGTCCAGTCTACGGTCTCCGCCAGGCGCCACGTGAGTGGCACGACACACTGAGGACCACGCTGGCGGCACTTGGGTTTGCTCCTTCTACTGCTGACCCGTCGCTGTTTCTGCTCACCGACACTTCTCTGCCGCCGTTCTACATCCTTGTGTACGTCGACGACTTGGTCTTTGCCACTGCTGACACTGCTGGACTCGCCTACGTGAAGTCCGAGCTGCAGAAGAGACACACGTGCACTGACCTGGGTGAATTGCGCAGCTACCTTGGCTTGCAGATCACCCGAGACAGAGCACGCCGCACCATTACCCTGACTCAGTCACACATGGTGCAGCAGGTCCTTCAGCGCTTCGGCTTCACGTACTCCTCGCCTCAGGCCACTCCTCTGTCTACTCGCCACTCGCTCTCAGCTCTGCCTTCGGATGAGTCCGTAGAGTCGAGTGGCCCGTACCCAGAGCTTGTTGGCTGTCTCATGTACCTGATGATCTGCACACGACCTGACCTTGCATACCCTCTTAGCATTCTTGCGCGCTATGTTGCTCCTGGGAGACACCGACCAGAGCACATGGCTGCAGCGAAGAGGGTGTTGCGTTACTTGTGCAGTACGTCGGGCATGGGACTAGTGCTTGGAGGGCGGAGTCCAGTGGTCCTCACTGGTCACGCGGACGCTTCTTGGGCTGACGACCAGGCTACGCAGCGGTCGTCACAGGGTTACACCTTCAGCCTTGGTTCCGGCTCTGTTTCGTGGCGGGCTACTCGCTCGTCTTCTGTTCTCGGCTCCAGTTGTGAGGCTGAGATCTACGCAGGGGCCATGGCTGCTCAGGAGCTTCGCTGGCTCACCTACCTGCTGACCGACCTTGGAGAGCCACCTCGTTCTCCTCCAGTCCTGTACGTCGACAACAAGGCCATGCTGGCCTTGTGACGAGAGCAGAGACTGGAGCACAGAACAAAGCACATTGCTCTCCGCTACTTCCTTGCTCGTGAGCTACAGCAGCGTGGTCAGTTGTGACTTGGGTACGTGGCCTCTGAGGCCAACACTGCTGATGTTTTCACCAAGGCACTTGCGCCTTGTGATCATCAGCGCTGCTGTACCCAGCTGGGTCTTGTGTCTGTCTTGCCTCACTTGCTCTCCTCTTGACCCTCTTTGTACTGTTCCATATCTATATCACTGCTCTTGCTTGTTTAGTCTCATATATATATATATATGTACTCCTGCATGTGCTTGGATTGTGTGGTGACGTTGTGATCCACCCTGAGCTTGCTTTGCTTTACTTGACTGGTCTTGTGACCCCTAGTTCTCCCCCACTTCGCCTATGGGGGTGTATCAAACATTATATCTAATGTTGTAGTTGTTTAGGCTGCAGTGGGTTAGCCTATAGGGGGTACACACTTCTAGGTTTCCACATTTGTACTCATTTCGTTCTTAGTCATTTCATTCCTCGTTCAACAGCATTCGCACAACGAACCACACGGTGTTTGGAGCACGCCTCCACCCCGGTGTACGGTGTACTCTGGACTACCAACTGTTATGAAGAAGAAGTGATTGCACTATGAAAGTTGGAGTACAAGTAGGAAACCCTAACTTTGTGTACCCCCTAAAGGCTAACCCACTATAGCCTACACAATAATAACACATGTAGTGTTTGACACACCCCCATAGGCAAAGTGGGGGAGAACAAGGGGTCACAAGACCAGTCAAGAAAGGCAAGCAAGCTCAGGGTGGATCACAACGTCACCACACACTCCGAGCACAAGCAAAGGGCCACAAGGCCAGTTCACATGCAGAAGTATATATAAGTAGTACAGACAGCAAGGGTGATCTCAACCTAGCAGAGCAAAGAGGCAGGAGTATATATAGAGATCACAGTACAGACAAAGCCTACAACAAGTGAGACAAAGTGGGCACTAGCCCCAACAAAGTACAGAAGCGCTGATGATCACTAGGCTGAAGTGCCTTGGTGAAAATATCAGCGGTGTTGGCCTGAGAGGCCACGTAGCGCAGACGAAGCTGACCACGCTGCTGAAGCTCACGAGCAAGGAAGTAACGGAGAGCGATGTGCTTCGTTCTGTGCTCCAGTCTGTGCTCTTCACATAAGGCAATGGCAGCCTTGTTGTTGACGTACAGCACTGGAGGAGAACTTGGCCGCTCTCCAAGGTCGGTCAGCAGGTAGGTGAGCCAGCGTAACTCCTGTGCAGCCATGGCTGTGGCAGCCATGGCTGTGGCGTAGATCTCAGCCTCACAACTGGAGCTGAGAACCGAAGACGAACGAGTAAAGCGCCACGAAACTGAACCAGAGCCAAGGCTGAAGGTGTAACTTTGTGACGACCGCTGAGTAGCCTGGTCGTCAACCCAAGAAGCGTCTGAGTGCCCAGTGAGAACAACTGAGCTCCCTCCTCCAAGCACGAGCCCCATGCCCGATGTACTGCACAAGTAGCGCAATACCCTCTTTGCAGCATCCCAGTGCACCTTTCGGTGACGACCAGGAGCCACGTAGCGAGCCAGAAGGCCAAGAGGGTATGCTAGGTCAGGACGAGTGCAAGTCATCAGGTACATGAGGCAACCAACTAGCTCTGGGTAAGGACCACTCGACTCTACGGACTAATCCGAAGGCAGAGCTGAGAGCGAGTGACCTATAGCCAGAGGAGTGGCCTGTGCTGAGGACCAGGTGAAGCCGATGTCAGAACATTATAGCTTATGCTTTTGTGTAGGCTATAGTGGGGTATCCCATAGGGGGTACAACCCAATTAGGGTTAGTACTTGTACTCACTTCATTCATAGTTCATTCATTCGCGTTCACTTCTTCACATGGTATCAGAGCAGGTCCCCTCCTAGGGACTGTTCCTAGGGCCCACCGAAGCGTGCCCCGAGGCGCGCGTTCCTTTTTTTAGCGACCCTCCGTGTCGCCCCTAGCGGCCCGTTACGCCGCCCTTACCTACGCGGCCCCGCCGCCATTACCTACGCGGCCCCGCCGCCCTTACCTACGCGGCCCCGCCGCCCTTACGACGCGGCCCCGCCGCCCTCACGTCGCGGCCCCGCCGCCCTCACCTACGTGGCGCCGCCGCCCTCACCTCCACGGCCTCGCCGCCCTCACCTACGCGGCCCCGCCGCCCTCACCTTCGCGGCCTCGCCGCCCTCACCTTCGCGGCCCCGCCGCCCTCACCAACGCGGCCCCGCCGCCCTCACCTTCGCGGCCTCGCCGCCCGTGCCTACGCGGCCCCGCCTCCTTCTCCTACGCGGCCCCGCCGCCCTCACGTCGCGGCCCCGCCGCCCACACCTTCGCGGCTCCGCCGGTCTCCCCTCCTGCCGAGCCGCCCGAGCAGCCGCCCGCCACGCCGCCCGGTACCGGAGCAGCCGAGCCGCCCAGCAGCAGCCGCCGAGCCGCCGGGCCGCCGAGCCGCAGTCCAGCCGAGCCGCCCAGCAGCAGCCGCCGAGCCACCGGGCCGCCGAGCCGCAGTACAGCCGAGCCGCCCAGCAGCAGCCGCCGAGCCGCCGGGCCGCCGAGCCGCAGTACCGCCGAGCCGCCCCGCAGCCGAGCCGCACTACTGCCGAGCCGCCCGACCTGCCCTGTCTGGTGAGCACAGCCCCACTGCTACTGCGTGCCCTTCCCCCACTGCTTGCACTGCTAGTCTGTCGTCATGGCTACCCCTAGTGTCCTCGCTTTTGACGCTGAGGGTCGAGCCATTGACTTTGAGGTCTGGGTCGATGACCTGCAGCTGTTTTTACAGTGCGATAGGGCGGACAGTCTTTCTCTCTTTGACCTCACCTCTGGCACCTCCCCTGCTCCTGCTGCTGATGCTGACCCCACTGTTCGCTCTCAGTGGGCCACCCGCGATGCTGCTGCACGTCTTGCTGTGCGTCGCCACCTGCCTACCTCTGAGCGTGCGCACTTTAGTCAGTACAAGAGTGCTCAGACCTTGTACGACGCTGTAGTTGCGCGCTACTCTTCCCCTGCCACTGCTGCACTCAGCCGCCTCATGCTACCGTACCTCTTTCCTGACCTTGCTGCCTTTCCTACAGTCGCTGACCTCATCACGCACCTCCGCACTTCTGACACTCGCTACCGCGCCGCACTTCCTGCTGAGTTCTGCGCCAGGAACCCCCCCCCCCATGTACATCGCTCTCTATTAAATAGTCACTCGCCTCCCTGACTCCCTTTGCGTAGTCAGGGACCACTTCCTCTCAGTCTGTCCCACCACCCTCACTGTCGACCTCCTCGAGAAGGCCCTCCTAGTGGCGGAGAAGAGCATAGTCGCTGTAGGAGCCTCTCGTGGTGACCCGCGCACCCCCATCTTTGAGGGGTGTTCTCCTTCCCCCCTGCTGCCCTCTGTTGCCTCTACTGCTGCTGCCGACCTGCTTGGTCTTGAGTCGGTCGGCGCGGCGTCTGCCCCTAGCGGGAGACGCCGCCCTGGCAAGGGCAAGAAGGGCAAGGGCGCGGGTGGTGCTGGCGGGGGCGGTGGAGGTAGCAGTGGCGGTGGCGGAGGGAGTGGGGGTGGCGGTGGGAGTGGTGGTGGGGGTGGTGGTGGTGGTGGTGGCAGCGGAGGCGGCGGCGGTGGCGGCGGCGGCGGTGGGAGCGGAGGCGGCGGTGGTGGCGGAGTTGGAGGCGGCGGTGGCGGAGGAGGTGGAGCCGGTCGGGGTAGTGCCCCGCAGCGGAGCGGCTCTGGTGGTGGTCAGCGCCAGCAGCAGTAGCAGCAGCAGCGTTCTCGGGACATCCCCTTGCCTCAGCAGCTCCGTGAGTGGTACACGCAGAGTCAGCGTGGTGGGGGTCTTGGCCCGTGCACCTACGTTCTTCATTCTGGCGACCGCGCGGGTGAGCACTGTGGGGGTGCCCACTCCACCCAGCGCTGCTTTGGCCGCCTGACGGACGCTTGGCGTCAGCGGTTCCCCGAGGCTAGTGAGATTCCCCGCTGGGGAGAGCTGTCTAGGGCTGGCGTAGCGATCTTTGATCTTGACTTTGATGCTATCCTTGCTGCCATGTATGCTGTGACTATTAGTGATGAGGGTGACTGTTACCGGTGTTTCCCGCCCGACCCGGGCATTGGTACTGCTGTGCTAGGTGCTTGTGAGGCTACTGCTCTAGGTGCCAGTGCGTCTGCACTCTCAGGTACTGCGTCGGCTTCGGCCTCCCTCACCTTCACACTTGACTCAGGGGCTTCTCGCTCCTTCTTTCGAGACCGCACCACACTCACGCCGCTTGGTCGGCCGGTTGCAGTCTCCCTGGCTGACCCCTCTGGGGGTCCTGTCCTCTCTCACTTCTCCACTGTCCTCCCGTGTCCGGCTGCCCCCTCGGGCACCCTGTCGGGTCTGTACCTCCCCTCGTTCTCGACGAACTTGGTAAGTGGTGCTGACCTGCATGATGCGGGGGTTCACCAGTTTACTCCTGCGAGTCAGCGGGTGACCCACTGCTCGGACGCCCGCACAGGCCGACACCTAGCCACGTTTTCGCGTCGGCCCGGGTCGAGTCTGTATACCCTGACCACTGAGTCTCCTCCAGTCCCTGCGTCTGGCCAGGTAGCTGCGTCGGGTCACGTGTTTGCTGCTGCGTCCAGGTCTGGTCCTGAGTCTGCCCCCTGCTCGTGTCGCCTCCTGTCTCACGAGACTCTCTTGTGGCACCACCGTCTTGGCCACCCCTCCTTGCCTCGTCTTCAAGGCATGGCTTCCCGTGTCCTTGTCTCTGGTCTCCCCCGGTCTCTCCCTCCCCTTCCTTCGGGGCCAGGACCTTCCTGTGTCCCCTGTGTCGAGGGGCGGCTCCGGGCTGCCCCTCACTCCTCCCAGTTTCCCCCGACAGAGGCTCCTCTGCAGACGCTTCACATGGACGTGTGGGGCCCGGCCCGCGTCCGTGGACAGGGTCACGAGCGCTACTTCCTGCTGGTGGTTGACGACTACTCGCGTTACACCACAGTCTTCCCCTTGCGCAGCAAGGGTGATGTCACTGAGGTGTTGATCGACTGGATCCGCGCAGCTCGTCTCCAGCTCAGGAGGAGCTTCGGCTCGGACTTTCCTGTTCTGCGTCTGCACTCTGACCGAGGCGGAGAGTTCTCCTCTGGCCTTCTGCGAGCCTACTGTCGTGCACGAGGCATCCGCCAGACCTTCACGCTTCCGGACTCTCCACAGCAAAATGGGATTGCTGAGCGCCGCATTGGCATGGTCATGGACGTCGCTCGTACGTCCATGATGCATGCGGCTGCTCCCCATTTTCTGTGGCCGTTTGCGGTTTGGTACGCGGCGCATCAGCTCAACCTTCACCCCAGGGTCTCCCGGCCGGAGACCTCCCCAGCTCTGCTGTGGACGGGGAAGGTTGGCGATGCGTCTGCGTTCCGTGTCTGGGGATCTCGGGCGTTTGTCCGCGACTTGTCTGCGGACAAGCTGTTCCCTCGTGCTGCTCCCTGTGTCTTCCTAGGCTTCCCCCCTGACGCCCCAGGGTGGCAGTTCTACCACCCCTCCTCTCGTCATGTTCTGTCCTCCCAGGACTTCACGTTCGACGAGTCCGTCCCCTTCTACCGCCTCTTCCCCTACCGCACTCCTTCCCTCCCCCCGCCACCGCACTTCCTTGTGACAGGTCCCCCCCGGGTAGACCCCCTTCCCCCTCAGGGTCCTGCCCCTTCAGGTTTGTCCCAGGTAGATGCAGTCGAGCCGGTCGAGGTTGCTGGTGACTCAGGTACTGCTGGGGGTGCTGAGCCTGGGGGTTCTGAGCCTGGGGGTGCTGAGCCTAGGGGTGCTGACTCTAGGGGTGCTGCGCGCGTGGGTGCTGAGCCTGGGGGTGCTGAGCCTGGGGGTGCTGCGTGTGGAGCTGCTGAGCCTGGAGGTGTGGAGCCTGTGGCCACTGGACCTCCCCTTGTGGCGTCTAGCGGTGCTGGGCCTGGGAGTTCTCCGGGTTTTTCGTCTCGGCGGGAGCCACTCTCTCCACAGGAGCTGCGTGAGTGGTTTGCTCGCCGCTGGAGGCGTACTGCTGGAGCTGGCGCTTCTTCGGCCGCTGAGGGTGCTGGTGCCGCCGGTCCCGGAGCTCCTGGGCCTGCGGGTCCGCCTGGAGCTGGAGTTGCTGAGGGTGTTGGTTCTGAGACTACTACTGTCCGTCCTGGTGGTGGTCTTGCTGCGGGTGTTGCTGGTGCTGCTGGAGGTCCTGCCGCTGGAAGTGCTGTTGGCGCTGGTGCTGCCGGAGGTGCTGAGGGTGCTGGTGCTGTCCCTGCTGTGTCTGGTGCCGCCGCGCGGCCTCGGCCGTACTTCGTTCCGCTCCTGTAGCAGGTTCTTGGTCCTTCTCCTCCTGTAGAGTGTCCACCGCCTGTCCTGTCACAGTCACAGTTAGAGCCTGCCTCCCCACTGCCTGCTCCCTCTCCTTACACTGGTCCTACTGGAGGTCTTACTGAGCGTCGTGACCCTGCGTCTCGTCCCGCGTCGCCTGTCCGTACTGCTCGCGCTAGTGATCGTGGTTCGCGTCAGCGTCCTCCTCCTGTCCCTGGCACGCACCGGATGTCTCTGAGTCCCTCCACTGCTCCTCTGCGTGCCCCTTTGCCTTCTCCTCCTGAGTCCTCTCTTCCTGCGCTTGCCGACCCGGCGTCGGACTCCCTTCGTGCTGCCTGTCCTACTGTCACGCGTCTCCTTGCTACTGTCGTCACTGACCCCTCTTTTGAGTCCACTGCTGCGTCTGCTCTTGTTGCTGAGCTCGTCGACTTTGCTGCTCGCTGTCGTCTGGACTACGCTGCTAGTCTTGTTGCTGAGTCTGCGTCTGCCTGTCCTCCGTCCGTCGGGGGTGAGTGTGCTCTTGGCACGGACGTCCTTGAGGACAGGCAGGAGGAGTTTCAGTGTCTGGCTGCTGCTTCACCTCATCTCACGTCTATACTGCTTGCCCCTGAGGGAGACCCGGATGCACTAGACATCCCGACTCCGCGCTCTTACGCGGAGGCCGTAGAGGGTCCCTACTCCTCTCAGTGGCATGCAATTATGGATGCAGAGATGGCTTCCTGGAAGTCCACAGGCACCTACGTTGACGCGATTCCCCCTCCTGGGGCGAACATCGTCAGTGGGATGTGGATCTTCAGGGTGAAGCGGCCGCCGGGCTCTCCACCTGTCTTCAATGCGCGGTACGTGGCTCGTGGCTTCAGTCAGCGGCAGGGAGTTGACTACTTTCAGACCTTCTCTCCCACCCCGAAGATGACCACTCTTCGGGTGCTGCTGCACATAGCCGCTCAGCGCGACTACGAGCTCCACTCTCTTGACTTCAGCACTGCTTTCTTGCAGGATAGCCTGCACGAGGAGATCTGGCTGCGCCGTCCACCTGGCTTCACTGGGACTTTCCCCCCTGGCACCCAGTGGAGCCTCCGACGGCCAGTCTACGGTCTCCGCCAGGCACCGCGTGAGTGGCACGACACACTTGCGGCTCTTGGGTTTGCTCCCTCTACTGCTGACCCGTCGTTGTTTCTGCGCACCGACACTTCTCTGCCGCCGTTCTACATCCTCGTGTACGTCGACGACTTGGTCTTTGCCACAGCGGACACTGCTGGACTCGCCTACGTGAAGTCCGAGCTGCAGAAGAGACACACGTGCACAGACCTGGGTGAACTGCGTAGCTACCTTGGCTTGCAGATCACTCGGGACAGAGCACGCCGCACCATTACCTTGACTCAGTCACACATGGTGCAGCAGGTCCTTCAGCGCTTCGGCTTCACGTACTCCTCGCCACAGGCCACTCCTCTGTCTACTCGCCACTCGCTCTCAGCTCTGCCTTCGGATGAGTCCGTAGAGTCGAGTGGCCCGTACCCAGAGCTTGTTGGCTGCCTCATGTACCTGATGACCTGCACACGACCTGACCTTGCATACCCTCTTAGCATCTTGGCACGCTATGTTGCTCCTGGGAGACACCGACCAGAGCACATGGCTGCAGCGAAGAGGGTGTTGCGCTACTTGTGCAGTACGTCGGGCATGGGGCTAGTGCTTGGAGGGCGGAGTCTAGTGGTCCTCACTGGGCACGCGGACGCTTCTTGGGCTGACGACCAGGCTACTCAACGGTCGTCGCAGGGTTACACCTTCAGTCTTGGTTCCGGCTCTGTTTCGTGGCGGGCTACTCGCTCGTCTTCTGTTCTCGGCTCCAGTTGTGAGGCTGAGATCTACGCCAGGGCCATGGCTGCTCAGGAGCTTTGCTGGCTCACCTACCTGCTGACTGGCCTTGGAGAGCCGCCTCGTTCTCCTCCAGTGCTGTACGTAGACAACAAGGCCATGCTGGCCTTGTGTCGAGAGCAGCGCATGGAGCACAGAACGAAGCACATTGCTCTCCGCTACTTTCTTGCTCGTGAGCTGCAGCAGCGTGGTCAGTTGCGACTTGCGTACGTGGCCTCTGAGGCCAACACTGCTGATGTTTTCACCAAGGCACTTCCGCCTTGTGTTCATCAGCGCTTCTGCACTCAGCTGGGACTTGTCCCAGTCTTGCCTCACTTGCTCACCTCTTGACCTTACTTGTACTCTTGCATATATATATATACCTACTCTTGCTTGTTTAGACTTATATATATATGTCTCCTCCTGCATGTGAACTGGCCTTGTGGCCTTGACCTTGTGCTCAGACTGTGTGGTGACGTTGTGATCCACTCTGAGCTTGCTTTGCTTTACTTTGCTTGACTGGTCTTGTGACTCCTTGTTCTCCCCCACTTTGCCTATGGGGGTGTGTCGGAACATTATAGCTTATGCTTTTGTGTAGGCTATAGTGGGGTATCCCATAGGGGGTACAACCCAATTAGGGTTAGTACTTGTACTCACTTCATTCATAGTTCATTCATTCGCGTTCACTTCTTCACAGCCGAAGCGCTGAAGGACCTGCTGCACCATGTGTGACTGAGTCAGGGTAATGGTGCGGCGTGCTCTATCCCGGGTGATCTGCAAGCCAAGGTAGCTGCGCAGTTTCCCCAGGTCTGTGCACGTGTGTCTCTTCTGCAGCTCCGACTTCACGTGGGCGAGAGACTCAGTGTCAGCTGTAGCAAAGACCAAGTCGTCGACGTACACGAGGATGTAGAACGGCGGCAAAGAGGTGTCGGTGCGTAGAAACAGCGACGGGTCGGCAGTAGAATGAGCAAACCCAAGAGCCGCAAGTGTAGTCCTCAGTGTGTCGTGCCACTCACGAGGCGCGTGGCGGAGACCGTAGACTGGCCGCTGGAGGCTCCACTGGGTACCAGGAGGAAACGACCCAGTGAAGCCAGGTGGGCGGCGCAACCAGATCTCCTCGTGCAGGCTGCCCTGTAGGAAAGCACTACTGAAGTCAAGAGAGTGAAGCTCGTAGTCGCGCTGAGCGGCTATGTGTAGTAGCACCCGAAGAGTGGTCATCTTCGGGCTGGGAGAGAAGGTTTGAAAGTAGTCAACTCCCTGCTGCTGACTGAAGCCTCGAGCCACGTAACGCGCGTTGAAGACAGGCGGAGAACCCGGCGGCCACTTCACCCTGAAAATCCACATGCCACTGACGATGTTCGCCCCAGGTGGGGGAACCTCGTCGACGTAGGTGCCTGTGGACTTTTAGGAAGCCATCTCTGTGTCCATGGCTGACTACCACTGTGAGGAGTAGGGACCCTCGATCGCCTCAGCGTACGATCGAGGAGTCGGGATGTCTGGGGCATCCGGGTCTCCCTCAGGGGCAACTGGCATGGACACGAGATGGGGCGCAGCGACTGCAAGACACTCAAGATCCTCTTGTCTGTTTTCAAGGACGTCCGTGCTAAGAGCACACTCACCCCTGACAGACGGAGGACAGATAGACTCAGACTCAGCGACAAGACTGGCAGCGTAGTCTAGACGACAGCGAGCAGCGAAGTCGACAAGCTCAGCAACTAGGCCAAACGCAGCAGCAGACTCAAAGGAAGAGTTAGTGACAGCAGTGGCCAGGAGACGCGTGACAGTAGGACTGGCAGCACGAAGAGAGTCAGACTCAGGGTCAGCAAGAGCAGGAAGAGAGGACTCAGAACGAGACGGCAGAGGGACACGCTGTGAAGCAGTGGAGGGACGCAGTGACATCCGGTGTGTGCCAGGGACTGGTGGCGGATGCTCACGCGGAGTATGGCGACTGGTGGAAGTAGTACGAACAGGGGACTCAGGACGGGACACAGGCGACACAGGCGACACAGGGCGAGACTCAGGCTGACGACGCTCTGTGAGACTGCCTGTAGGACCAGTGTTGGGAGAAGGACAAGGAAGTGGCGAGGCAGGCGGTAGCTGTGACTGCGACTGGACCGGCGGTGGACACTCTACAGAGGGAGGGGGACAAGGTGGAGGTGACTGACTAAGAACCTGTTGAAGGAGTGGAACAAAGTACGTCCGCGGCCGTGAGGTGCCCCCTGCAGCAGCAGAGACAGCACCAAATCCTCCAGCAGCTCCAGCAGCACCCCCAGCACCTCCAACGCCCGGGTCTGCAGCACCAGTAGCAGCTCCAACGCCCGGGTCCGCAGCACCAGTAGTAGCTCCAACGCCCTTGTCCGCAGCACCAGCAGCAGCTCCAACGCCCGGGTCCGCAGCACAAGCAGCAGCTCCAACGCCCGGGTCTGCAGCACCAGCAGCAGCTCCAACGCCCGGGTCCGCAGCACCAGTAGCAGGGTCCGCGACACTAGGAGCGCCACTCCTGAGACTGCAGCGCCGTGCGTACCACTCACGAAGACGCTGGGGAGAGGGCAGCTCCCGCCCAGGCGAGGAAGCACGAGTACCAGCTCCAGCAGCACCCCTAGCTCCAGAAGCACCTCTCCTGAGGCTGCAGTTCTATAAGTACCACTCACGAAGCTGCTGTGAGGAGAGAGCTCCTCCATGCGTAGCACTCCCAGGCTCAGCACCCCCAGACTCAACACCCCCAGACTCAGCACAAGCAGGCTCCGTACTCCCAGGCTCAGCACCCCCAGACTCCGCACCCCCAGGCTCAGTACCCCCAGACTCTGCACCCCTAGGCTCAGCACCCCCAGTCTCCGCAACCCTAGGCTCCGCACGCTCATGCTCAGCACCCCGAGCAGGACGAGAGTCGACAACTACCTCGACAGGCTCAACCGGGTCTACCTGGGACACAGCTGAGGGAGTGGCACCCTGAGGGGGGAGGGGGTCTACTACAGCAGCACCTGGCGCGAGGAAGAGAGGCGGGGGAGGGAAAGGGGCAGTGCGGTAGGGGAAGAGGCGGTAGAAGGGTACCGACTCGTCAAAGGTGACGTCCTGAGAGGCGAGGACACGGCGCGAGGTAGGGTGGTAAAACTGCCAACCAGACGCGTCCGGAACAAAGCCTAGGAAGACACACGGAACAGCGCGGGAGGAGAGCTTGTCCGCGGACGTATCGCGAACAAAAGCTCGGGATCCCCAGACCCGAAAACGCGACGCATCGCCAACCCCTCCCGTCCAACGCAGTGTCAGGGAGGTGTCCGGCAAGGAGACACGGGGCCAGAGGTTGAGCTGATGCGCACCGTATCGGACCGCAAACGGCCACAGAAAGTGGGGGGCAGCCGCATGGATCAAGGAGGTACGAGTGACCTCCATGACCAAGCCAATGCGGCGCTCAGCAACCCCATTCTGTTGTGGAGAGGCTGGAAGCGTGAACGACCGGTGGATGCCGTGCTCCGCACAGTAGGCTGCCAAGAGGTCAGAAGAGAACTCACCACCTCTGTCAGAGTGCAAGCGCAGGACAGGAAAGTCCGAGTGGAAACGCTCGCTGAGCTGAAGACGGGAAGCGCGGATCCAAGGGATCAAAACATCAGGGACCTCACCCTTGGTGCGCAAGGGGAAGACCGTGGTGTAGCGCGAGTATTCGTCAATAACTATCAGGAAGTACCTTTCCTGACCCTGACCACGGACGCGGGCGGGGCCCCACACGTCCATGTGGAGCGTCTGCAAGGGAGCAGTCGTCGGGGGAAACGAGGAGGAGTGAGGAGCAGCGCGCTGCCGCCCCTCGACACAGGGAAGGCAGGGAGGAGCAGGCGAGGCTGGGAGGTGAGGGAGAACCCTGGGAAGACCAGAGACAAGGTACCGTTTGTGCATTGCCCGAAGGCGCTGCACCGACGAGTGACCAAGTCGGTGGTGCCAGAGGACTGTCTTGTGCGCCAGAGCGCAGCACGAGCAGGGGGCCGAGAGCTGACCTGACGCAGACGCAGACGCAGCTACCTGCGGGGACTCAGTAGTCAGTGTGTACAGGTCCGACCCTGGCTGCCGTGTGAAGGTCGCCAGGTGACGGCTCGTCCGAGCACACGTGCAGTGTGTCATGCGCTCGTAGGCAGGGGTGAACTGGTGGACACCCCTGTCCTGGAGCGCACTACCCGCCACCAAGTTTGTAGAGAACGAGGGGAGGTAGAGACCGGACAGTGTGCCCGACGGGACGGCCGGACAGGGGAGGACAGTGGAGGAGGTCACAAGGACTGGACCCCCAGAGGGGTCAGCGAGAGAGACTGCAACGGGCCGAGCAGGCTGCACAAGAGCCGTGCGGTCACGAAAGAAACAGCGGGAGGCACCTGAGTTTAGTGTAAAGGTGTGCAGTGCCTCAGTCGACTCAGTAACAGGGGGCGCAGACGCACCAGCACCTTGAGCAGCAGCCTCACCAGCACCTGGGGTAGCAGACACTCTAGCACCTAGAGCGGTAGCCTCACCGGGTCGAATGCCCGGGTCGGGCGGAACACGCAGGTACTGGGCACCCTCTCCACTAATAGACATCACATACATGGCAGGGAGAATAGGATCAAAGTCTAGAGCAAAGATATCAATGTTTTTCTTCATCAGATCAGCCCAGCGGGGCAGCTCAATGGCGTCAGGGAACTGAGTACGGCAAGCATTGTCGAGGCGTGAGAAGCAGCGCTGCGTGGGGTGCGCCCTCCCACACGTCTGACCAGTGCGGTCACCAGTGCGGATGAGGTACGTGCAGCTAAGGCCACCACCCCCCCCCGTGCTGAGCGTACCACTCACGGAGCTCCTGGGGCGACGGAGAGTGCTGTAGGCTCTGGCCACCGCTAGTGCCTCCACGACCACCATTGCCGCCACCACCTCCTCGACCGCCTCCTCCCCTGCCGCCGCCGCGTCCACCGCCGCCCCCACCACCGCCCCCGCCCCTGCCACTGCCCCCGCTGTTGCCGCCACCACCCCCACCGCTGCCTCTAGCCCCACCAGTCCCACCACCACCCCCACCGTCGCCACCACCCCCACCACCGCCTCCCCCGCCGTCACCTCCGCCTCCCTTGCCCCCTTTGCCCTTGGCGCTGCGGCGCCTGCTCGAGGCAGACGCAGCCCCGACCTTCTCAGAACCAAGGAGGTCGACAGCAGAAGCAGAGGCTATAGAGGGAAGAAGGGGGGAAGGGGAACACCCCTCAAAGAAAGGGGTGCGGGAGTCGCCACGAGAGGCACCTACAGCGACTATGCTAGCCTCAGCTGCAAGCAGTTCCTTCTTGAGGAGGGCAATGGTGAGCTCAGTGGGGCAGCGAGCTAGGAAGTGATCCCTGACAGCACGCAGAGTGTCA